TTTTAAAAAAAAAATCTCAGAGTATCACACAAGATAAGAAGGGTCATGATCATCAGAGGCAACAGCCTAATTTTTTAATGAAGGAGACTCCTGACTGCACTCCAAGGTACAGTGAAATGAATTTTTCAGTATTTTACCATATAAACACCATGCAGAATTGTACTAGAGCCTTAAGCCTGCAGTACTTAATAGAGAGTCTGTACCATGCAGATATGTGGGTTATCTTTCAGTCTTTCTAGTCTTCCAAGAATGCGTGCAAGGGGCAAAGCCTCAGGAAACACAATTGTCCTTTTAAGCTTAAAGGGTGAATGGATGATCTTATGATTAGAGCATAGAGTTTGGAGTGGCAAACAGGCTCTTTCTGTGATTGTGCCAAAACTCCACACAGCCAACTTTTAAATTTCCAGGGTAATCAGCAATTGGGTAATGCTGGTAAGGCAAAGGTGCAGGTAATATATATAAGTGAAGCTATAAGAATCCTCTTTAAAAGAGAACGGCAGCAGCCATACGTTGAAGGGGAGGCTGCAGTATTGTGTCATGCACTGTGTGACGCAGTGGTCGTGGAAATGGCCATATCTCACTGTACTGCTAAACTCATTACAGCTCAGGACTCTGGGTACTGTGAATGCATATTTCAAGGTTCCTCGGTCAGTCTTGGGACTCACTAGGTGACTCATCTACTTAAGACTTTCAGTTCCCAGACAAAATGACTGGAAGCCCTGGGAAGCTTAAAAGGGGGAATGCTGTCAAGCCCCCTTTGCTTTTTGCCTCAAGGGAATCCTCGTATCAAGGTTGCTCCGAGGCTGCAGGTCCTGCAAAGCTCCGTATATGTCAGCTGGAAGCATCTTGTGCTCCGTTCTGTGACTTTCATTGAACCCAGGCTTTTCTGTGAAAAGCGCGTTTTCTAATTTCTGTCAGAAAGTTCTCAAACAGATATACTTGCAGCCCGGCTGCACTTTGGTCTCTTCTGCACTTGAAGATGTGGGTCATTATCTCCTGTGTGGGGTGATCCATTTTTCTAATTATTCTTTTCTGCTGGTAGTCAAAATTAGAAGCAAAAGTAAGAAAGAGCTGGGAAACAAAAGGGTTAATACTGTGAAGTCTGTGGGTGCAAACAGGGTTCTGTTAAAAATGAAATGAAATTGGGTGGAGGTAGATAAAAAGAAATCTGAAATAATTGTTCTGTAGAATACTGCCTTTCCACACAGGGAGAAATCTTTCTCTTCACTTCTGTCTGAAGAGAGAGTCAAATAGAGAATCTCATCTCTTAATTAGAAAGAAAAATACTCATCAAACACATCTCATCACTGGAAAGCTAATGATCCACAGCTGCTAGTCTGAAAGGGCAGGCTTTTTTTCTGAACAGTAGGAAGTGTTAATCATTTTGGATGAGGTTTCTTTTTAAAATATACTGTAGTTTGCAAAAGAATAGGATATTCAATATTCCAACTTAAATTATTTTTTGAAGTGTTGTACACCAGGGATAGTGTCATGTGTCTCACTGAATGATCGTTTAATGCATGTGTCTCTCACTAAGAGTATCAACTGATGTGGTGTTGTAAATGGCCGGTTCATGCCGGTGACTCTTAAAATCTTGATCTCACAGGGGAGAAGAAAAAAAAGTCCTCCCTCACTGTCTTATGTGTAGGAAATGGCAGCTATATTAAACTGTAACCTTTGAGACTCCCACTCCTCCCTTAAAATAGTTGGCTTGTTTCAGTAGTGATGAGGATCCTTTTTTAGACTGAGTAGAGCCATTATTTCTTTGAAAGAGATCATACCGGATACAGTCCATGTTCCACTGGATGCTTTATAGGCATGGGCAGGTCCCAGGACTGACCTTTTATACCTGATCCTGTGCTTTTGCGGCTCTGCTTTTTCTCCCTGTACTTATTTAATGGAGGGATATGTAGGTTTCCCTCCTCTTCGTGGATGAAATAAAGTTAATGGAATAGATTCATACATACAGCCTCCCCTCTATTCCTTCTCCTCCTAGCTGTAAGATCCTTTATGCCTAAGAACTGAGCCCCAGGATTTTCTTGCTGTTCTGCACTAGTTTTTGGGGCTGCTGTGTTTACTTAAAAGTCTTTGCCTAATGCTGGGAATCTGTTTGTTTTCTCCCTCGTGTGTTTGTGTGAGTGCATTTTTCTTCTGGGGGAGATAGTGAGGCAATTTCACTTGCAGTGCTATCACTGTGCTGCTTTCACACAGCATACATCTCATTTGTGTTGCAAATACAGAGTCCCTGTTTTCTTAGTGCCTGGCTGAGACAGGTGCTTCTGAAAGAAGCAACCAGTTAAAATTCAGCCAGACTAGATGGAAATGAAGCTGGCAAGTCAGAGAAATCTTTTAAAGGAGATGGCAGGTGTAGTGCCCACTTTTGCAAAGGTCCATACAAGTCTTAAAGAGACTTTTGTGAATTTGGAGCTTTTTGGATTTTATTTTTGACACCTTTTCTGATAGCTGTCTGTCCTTTTAGATGGATAATTTTCTGTCATTATTCTCACACTCATTAGATCACGTCTAGATTACTGAGTCCAATTTTACTCCCCTCTCCCTGCCAATATGAGAAAGTACGGAACGTTGATAAACTTGAATGAGTTCGGCAGAGAGCCACCACAGAGTGGTCAGGGCCTGGAGCTCGAGGCCTGTAAGGAAAGGCTGGCAGAAAGGACAGCTTTGGGGAGACCTAGCAGCAACCTGCCCATGCCAATGGGATGCTACTGAGAAGAGCCAGGGTATTTACGGAGGTGCACAAAGAAAGAAGTGAGAGACAGTGAGGTTCCAGAAGGCGCAACTTTTTCCTCATGGTGACCCTGAGCAACCTGGTCTGAATTCAGTAGTGACCCTGCTGTGAGTAAGGGGTTAGACTGGAGACCTCTAGATATCTCCCGAAAGCATCTAGGTTGCTGGCTTTTTTTCTCTGGAGTCATGGATCGTTTGGATATTACCTGAAGATTTTCTTTACGTCTTTCTAACTAAATTTAAAATGGGAACATAAGACAGGCTGTATACATTGGTATTTCTCAACAAGTAGTCTCTGGAATCCACATTTCTGATAGCTGGATATTATTCACCAACTTCCAAAGCTCAGCGCAGCATGTATCCATTGACACAGGGCGTTTCTGGAGTTAATTGGTGCAAGGATTCCTTGTGTTTCTTTTGAGATTAGAATTTTGTTTTAGGTTGGCTATGTCAAATATGCCAGATCAAATTCCCATTTATCACCTCCCTCCTGGAAGAACTCTAGGATTCTGTGAGCTGTTGTTTGCTTCTTATTCATTACAATTTGTAACAGATTTCCTTTGAAACTAAATGACCCCTCAAAACCTAATTTTCTTTCAAATAAAATATTAACTGTTAACAGCACCAGTATCCTCTTATATATGTTACACAAACTTCTTTTTCAGTTCTTTCAGTATTCGTCATGTTTGTCTTGCAGTCTCACAAGACTTCCAGATACAAAGCATTCAGTGACAGAAAGTAGAGAAAGGAAGGTAGGTTAGCTGACCTTGAGACAGTAGATTACTTAAAATACCGATTTTTTCCTTGTACGTGGATGTTTGTATTTGATAAGAGCATTTTGTTTCAACTCTAAACAGAAATCCTCACAGCAGAAGGTTATTAAAATCCCCATTTTGTTCTTATTCAAATTTATATCCATCTAGATGATTGGTTTTGGCTAAATGAGACACTTTATTTAGTTACTGGCTTTGCTTTAGGTTTGCTAGTTCTGAGACATAACACCTTCATTAATTTTAGTTTATAAAAACAAAAATATTCAAAAGCTAAAGTCATAGGATTTGAATGAAAACAGCTTAGCAAGATTTCTGAAGAGTAGGCATATATCCAGCTGTGGTAAATAGTGTAATTTACCATAATACTTTCATTTTTGACTTTTGTCATACGAGAGGAAAATAAACCAAGTTATGTTAGGACTAGAGCTGGGTAAAATACAGAGCTTCTTGTTCATGGGGAAAATTGGATGTAAAAATGGTTTTAGTTCAAACTCGCCTAAGTCCAAATATTTTTATTTCTTTCCTGAAAAAACAATAATTTTGTTCCAGAATCACCAGGGAGCAGTATCTCCCTGGAAGTCTCTCTGCTAGGCAGCTACAGACTCTGACAAATGTTTGTGACTTTCAGGTGTCAGAAGCTACCTCTGATAGCCTAGCTATCAAGCTAGCTCCTAGCCTTGGTAGGTCTGACAGATCCGAGAGAGAAGTCCATGGTATCAAGCTTTTCACAGCTCCATGGCACAGAGCAGTGGTTTCTGCCTGGACTGCGATCTCTGTGCTTCCAGGGGCTCCATGTTAGAGAACAGCCCCTGGGATATGTAGCCGGCTTGTGCTTGTGTCAGCCTCCAGACATGGATCAAAGAGTGCTCAAGATGTTTTGAAGGCATACTACAAATTCAACAAATCAGAGTTTTCAAAGGGATGGACTTAAATGACTTCCTAGTATTCCTTTTAATTGTATTTTCTGCGATTCTGTGGTCATTACTGTGTTACCATGATTTTATTCAAATATTTGGACTTTTTTGCTTTTTAGTGTGATTTTTGAGTCTTCTGTACAAATGAATCCTTCAGATTTTCATTGTACTGTTTACATCTTCTAAAAAATGTATTTTTTCTTTTTGAACAAATTATCCATAGAAATAACTCAACCTCTTCTTTATTATGTTGTCATCTTATTTTTATGCCAATTTGCATTATTTTGTCCACATAAGCATTATTTCACTAGAGAACAATTAATGTTCCCTCTTAGGCTACGCTATACCAACGTTCCTTTCAGAAGAATTAAGATTCAAACAAATCAAAAGTGTAGCAATTGTTTTACACATGTAAGTGACTGGTCAGCAAAATGATATAAAAAAGTGTTCTTGTTGCCTGCTATGGAGAGATGATTTTGTTTAGAACTGTTTCAATTCATTGGTCTTAACTGTTCGTGAGTTTAATGTAATGGAGCGTTGAATCACTTTTTCCTCCTCTGTCTTCTAGCTTTTCCTTTTTGTGGTTTGGAACTTTGAGCTCTACATGATACCACTGGCTTTCTTGTTGCTGTTGGCATGGAACTACTTCTTGATCGTATCAGGGAAAGATAACCGGCAACACGATACAGTAAGTCTTTTCTACTTCAAGCACATACATGTCCTTTTCTTTTTTAACTAACACAGAGATAAAATTTTATAACTGAGTTTAAATATGACATCTTTTCAAAAACATTTCAGTTCCCGATGCTTGATGGACAATTTTCCCACCTGCAATTGAATTTTTCTCCAGCTGTCCAATAAATGTGTCTGTTTTTGTTGAAAATGTCATTTAAAAATATAGTAGAACATGTACTATCCTCAGAATCTGGTTTATGTGGGAGAAGAGAGGAGAGGCTTACTGGTCAGGAGAAGACAAATTCTTTGAAAATGGCTGTATACCGCTAAGTGCATATGTTGCACTTTTTCATCCTTGTACTGATGTTAAAGGTTAAAATGTTTCCAAATTGTTATCAGTTTCAAAATGTATTTACCATTTTTTTCAGTATTATGTTACATTCAGTGGGCGTAATACAAACCTTTTCTTACTTCCTTCTCATTTAATGTATTTAGATAAATGCATGTAGTTAGGATATAAAGTAACAAACATTTACTAAAAACAGACATTTATTAATAATGAAAGCATGGTTCAGACTTCCAGAAGTATGCCTCAAAAGTTGAAATTGTATTCTGTGCTATGTAAATTTTCTAGTGTCCAGGCAGCTCAAGGGTTTTGCATGTGTATTATTCTTGAGCCTTAAGAAATTGATATTAGATTCAGTATTCATATCCCCAAAGCAGTGTGCTGTCTAGGACGTTATGGTCTGGGTGGACACCTAGATGAGTAAAAAAACTGTTTGGATAGTTGGTCTCCGAGGGTGGTGGTAGTGATATACCGTACCTGGAGGTTGATAACAAGTGGAATACCACAGTGGTGTGTACTGGGACCTGTCCTGTTTAGCATCTTTATCAATAACCTGGAGGAGGTGATGGGGTGCACTCTGTCATGTTTGCAGATGACATTAAATGGGGGTAGGACCAGCTGATACAGTGGAGGGCAGGGCTGCCATTCAGAGAGACCTAGGCAAGCTGGAGGAATGAGCCAACAAGACCCTCATATAATTCAACAAGGACAGATGACAAGTCCTGCGCTTGGAGAGGAATAACCCCTTCCAGTGATACAGTTTGGGGACTGACTGTCTGGGCAGCAGCTCTGCTGAAAGGGATTTGGACATCTTGATAGACGGGAAGGTGAACAGGAGCCAACAGTGTGGCCTGGCAGCAAAGAGCACCAACAGCATCCCAGGCTGCATTAATAGGAGCATAGCCAGTGGATTGAGAGAAGTGATTACTCCCCTTCACTCAGCACTTGTTAAACTGCATCTAGGGTAATGTCCAGTTTTGGGCACCAATGAGTTCAGTGGAGGGCCACCAAGATGGTCGGGGGGCTGGAGCACTTGTCCTCTGAGGAGAAGCTGAGAGAACTGGTCTTGACGAAGCCTGGGGAGGAGAAAGGTTTGGGGAGGATCTAATAGTGGGCTGCCACTATGTACAGAAAGGTTATTAGGATGGAGCTAGGCTCTTCACAAATAGTGCATCATGGGAGGACAAGAGACAATGGGCATAAGTTGAAGAAAGTGAGGTTCAGACTATATGTGTAATGAGACTCTTTTTTTGCCGTGAGGACAGGCAGGCAGAGGAACAGGTTGCCCAGAGAGGTTGTGCAATCTCTGTTCTTGGAGGTTTTCAGGAGTGGATAAAGCCCAGACCAGAGCAATCTGTTCTGACTTCACAGCTGCCCCTGCTTTGGGCAGGTGGTTGTGTTAGAGACCTTCTGAGGTCCCTTCCAGCCTGAATGATCCAATCACCCAAGTGTCCAGCCACTGCAATTACTAGTGGCCGGTCCAATTGATATAACTGATCCTGGCACTGGTATTACCTCTCCACGACAGGTTGTTGTAACTCCTAAGGTCATCTAAAATTAGGGATAAAGATGCTAGAGTTATTCCCAAAGGTAGACCCCAAAGGTTGTTACATTTATGGGGAAAAGTCTAAGATTTGCAATCAAGATTTAAAAGATGCATTTTTTAAATCATAGCCTTTGGTCTCTAGCTTCCTGAAACTCTTGAAGCTTTTCAACCTGAGGGTTTTATGGGTAACTGAAATCCCTTGTGAAAGGAGAGATTTCACTTGTGAGCTGCAGTGCACTTCATTTCTTTCTAAAATACCACCTGCATGTAAAGATTAATTGACTCAGGCAACTTTTCTAACAAAGTAATGAAGCTGTTGATAGGCTCTCTGATGAGGACACCAAAATGCTGCTCTAAAAATGTTTCTCTTGCTAAAATTCTTTCAGACCAAGCCCAATACAGCTTTTATCAACCAGTAGAGTTCTTCCCTGATTTTTTTATGTTTGTGCTACTATTTACACTTTTTGGTTTATAGCAAGTCAGTTGGGACCTTGTTTTTAGTGAATTGAGCTTAGTTACCTCATTCTTAATGAACTGAACTTGGTTATCATCATGGTTAGCATCTGTCTTCTATGATGTAATCCGCAGACACACTGGATGTCTTTCTAATTAACTCTCAAATCTTTAGTAATATCACAAGTCCTTAGCTCAGGTCATTAACACAGTATCATTAGATTAGGAGTCATTTAGAATATTTCTGTTTTCCTATGTGGAGTGTAAATATTAACTAAATTAATTAAGCAGTGTTTCCTGGTGGCTAGAGATTGCCTTAGAATTCAGATGATCTAGAGTCTGTTCCCAGGTCTGCAGAGATTTCTTGTGTGCCTCAGTAAAATCATTGACTACTTAGAGGTATCGTCTGTTCTTTGAAGCTGCTTTGAAATCCTCAAGTTATTGATAAGACAAAAAGATAAATGTGTTTGGGTTTGGGTGTTTTTATTGTTGTTGTTTTTACTCAATTAACATGAGACAAATGTAATTAAGAGCTGTATGCACTTTAAACTTGCTTCATGAGCATGGAAGATACTTAGATTGCCAGACCTGAAAAGGAGTTTGGAAGAGTTCTCTTCCATTGTAATAACCACACTAGATAACAATATCAGTTGTCTAATCAGCTGAAGCATTTGAGATTGCACTCTTCTGCAGATCAATGAAATCATTCACTAAGTTTCTGTCTGGATATGACAGATGAAACAACCTTAACTTACCTTTATTTGAATATCTTTACAGCCAAGGTATCATTTGCGTTGTCCTCTCAGGCATCAGATTCTTTGAAGTATTTTGGAACTTACTTTCTTGTGAAATAATGTGAAATCGTCTGAGGTATTCAGTCATGCCCCTACTCATTTAAGAATGAGAGTGATTACTCTGCCACATTCTCTGACCCATAATCAGTTATGTGTGCAAGTCCTTACTTGAAATAAAAGTGAAATGAGGTTGGGACAAGGAGGAGTGCCCTTGGTTGTGGGAGATAAGTCTATTGGAAAAGTCTAGGGAGAGGTGAAGCAGCATACATGGCATTCTTGCTTTCAAGGATTCAGTTGGACTTTCCATATATGATTGATCATCGTCACAGTTTCAGTTATACGCTGGCACAAACTTAGAAGTGTTGGATTCCCTATCACATTGAGATCAAGATTTATTGCCTTTCCCAAATATACGCTTTTATCATAAACGAACTCTTGCGTTAAATATTGGGATAACAGGATGAGATTTCATGGCCTGTGGTAGACAGGAAGTGTAGGAGGAGCAAGCTAGATACAGTTTTAGCGGAGTCTCCTTTGAATGAATCTGTGAGAATTCAGAACTGATCTAGGATGAATGAACTTCTGGCGTTGAGTCATGTGGTAGGAATAGAAAGTCAGAGAATGAATGTTTTCTTTCAATACTGAACAAGGCACTTGGGTAGAATGACTAAAATGGTGTTCTTAACATTTTCCTCTGGGTTTTGCAGAATGTTTGCAGAACACTTTTACCTGAAACTTACTTAACTGCTTTTTCTGTGGATGTTTGTTTCACTTAAATGCTGTCCGTATCCTTATAACATACTTAGTATGTACATATATGTGTTACCTATAATATGTAAATGTATTTCCCTATAGCAATATTTCTGGATGTCTAACCTAATGAAATAATAATCTCCACCAAGAGTGGAGATTTCAGATGATACAGAACTGGGAGCAGTGACTGATAGATCAAATGGTTGTGTTGCCATTTGGAGGAATCTCAACAGGCTGCAGGAATGGACTGACAGGAATTTCGTGAAATTCAACCAAGGGAATTGACAGGTTCTGCACATCAGGAGGCATAACGCCATACAGCAGTACAGGCTTGGGGCTGACTGACTGGAAAACACCTTTCCAGAAAGGACTCTAGGGGTCCTGGGGGACAACAAATTGAATGTGAACATGAATCAATGTGCCCTTGCAGCTAAGAAGTCCAGTGGCATCCTGGGCTGCGTGAGGCCAGCAGGTCAAGGGAGAGGTGAACCTTCCCCTCTGCTCAGCACTGCTGAGACGCATCGGGAATGCTGAGTCCAGTTATGGGCTCCCCAGTGCAAGAAAGACATGGATGTACTGGCACAAGTCCAGCAAAGGGCCACAAACGTGATTAAGAGTTTGAAGCATCTGCTATATAAGCACAGGCTGAGAGAGCTGGCACTGTTCAGCCTGGAAAAGAGAAAACTTGAGGTGGGGTGGAAATCTTATGAATCTGTATAAATACCATATGGGAGGGTGAGAACAAGATGGAGCCAAACTCTTCTCAGTGGTGCCCAGTGGCAGGGCAAGAGACAAAAGTCACGAATTGAAATGCAGAACATTAAGAGGAACCTTTTTTACTGTGAGGGTGATCAAAGACTGAAGAAAGTTGCCCAGGGATGTTGTGGAGTCTCTGTCCTTGGAGATGCTCAGACCTGACTGGACATGGTCCTGAAACCATGCCCCTGCTTTGAGCAGGTAGGTTGGACTAGATGATCTCCAGGGGCCCCTTCCAAGCTTAACCGTTCTGTGATTCTGTGAAATAATTAACAGTTTGTTCATCAGCTCTTGAATACAGCCACACTGACTGATCTAGACACCTATAGTGAGGTGTCTCTGTGCCTTTGACAGGAATTATGTGT